ATATATCAGATATATGCTATCATTTTTCATTCTCACCACATATATCATTCTCCATATATGTATATGTGTATACACACACATGGTTGATAGGAATGGAAAAATGTTTCCCAACATTACACCATGGAAATACAAATTAAAACCAAACTGAGAAATACCACACACTTACTAGAATAGCTTTCCGGTGACAAGACTGACTGCAGCAAATAATGAGAAGAATATGGAGTGGTTAGGACTTTAACAACTACACATGCTTGTTCCCTACCAATGGCACTCATGCAAAAAGGCTTGTAGACAAATATCCATAGCAGCTATGTGCATAATAGCCCCAAACTGAGAGCATCCCCGATGTCTTTTCATGGAAAAATTGAATAAAGACTGTTACAGTTACAACTGAATGCCACCTAGCAGTAAGAAAGAATCAGTTACTAGTTCACAGGATGATGCAGAAGATTCTTTAACATAAACTAACAAATGAAGCCTGAAACAAAAGACAGCTCACGGTATGATCACTTACGTTCCAGAGCAGGTAAAGCTACACTGCAGAGGTGGAGTCATAGCAGCGGCTGCTGCAGTAGGGGAAACTGACTGGGCCAGATAGGGTGACACCGCTGTACCTTGATGGGGGGTGTGGTACTCCAGTGCAGACATTTTGTAAGGCAAATCCAACTTCAGAGATCTCCGTGTTTTTCTGTATGTGCCACAATCAAAAGAATCTCAGAGGGCTGCTCACTGATATCTGGAGTGGTTTACAAACAGCTGCTGGTTTGCAGGCAATAAAAGAGCAAATAAATCAGTAAAGGTGTCACTTTGCCCTTGCCTGGTGCCTGCATTTCAAATGCCATTAGCATTATTTTGACATAGGAAATCCAAAATCTGCTATAAGCCAAGACTTGGAGCAGACGTTCAAGAGTTACTTGCAGAGGACGGGTGGATGTCTGAGTTCCGGGCCAGCCTGGTCTACAGAATGAGTTCTAGAGCAGCCAGGGGTACACAGAAAAACCCTGTGTGTGTGGTGTGGGGGAGCTACTTGGGGCTGGTAGTGGGGAGTGCAGAACATCAAAAAGTGAGCATATAGAGAGAGAAACAGAAACTTCCTACGCAAAAGTCACACTGCTCAAAATGAGCCTGCAAATCAGGACTCTATCCCTGAAAACCCAGATGCTAATGAGGCCAGCAACAAAATCAGCAGTAGGCACAGATTCACTCTGCATGTAACTGACCTGGCAGAGCAGTGTGACCCTGACTTTAAAGAAATATTCCGAGTACTCTCATGATCTGAGAGAGACTGGCTGAGAGCACAGGGCGGTGAGGCACTTGGCAAACATAGGCAAGGCCCCCCGAGAGTTTATTCCCAGCACAGCAGAAAGAGGATGGAGAGGAGAGAGGAAGGCAGGGGGGACGGGTGGAAGAAGGGAGGGAGGACGGGAGGGAGATCTTAAGCAATCTTACTGTAAAAGATTGAGTAATAAAGTAGTTTGACACAATGTTTTAAAATACCGATATAAAAACAAAATTGGTAAGCATATAAACTCCCGATGAAAGGCTTATAATTGCTGAGATCATTTTCCAGTGACTACGTGGCCACTGTTGGAACAGTGAATCTGAAGAGAGTGCAGAGAATGCACCCAGTCTGGAACACACAGGGACAAAGGTCATGATTTTCTCAAATGTGAGGGGACAGATACAGGACATGAAGGAGTGACTGACAGACTGCAGTAGAAGTTCCACCATAGGACCAGCAAGGAAGAGTGGTTTTTCTAAAATTGAAGAGACACCTAAATCCTCAAATCAAAAGATAATAACAAATAAAACCACGTCTAGACCGAAGGGACAGAGCTCAGAAGCACCAAGAAGAAAGGACAGCTAGCCTGCCTGGGAGCAACAGTGATCCTGTCAGCAGAGTCCCAACACCACAAGAGATGCTACCGGACAGGAAGCCTCTGTCACACACGCTACGGGCAGCTAGACTAGTGTTTGGGACTAAGGGAAGAAGGAAGTTAAGGTCAGCGTTCTGGGTGGTTTCATGTCAACTTGACACAAGCTAGAGTCATGTGAGAGAAGGGAACCTCAGCTGAGAAAATGCCTCTGTGAGATCAGGCCGCAGGCAAGCCTGTAGCATTTTCTTTGGTAGTGATGACAAGGCAGGGCCCGGGGCATTGTGGGTGATGCTGTCCCTGGGCTGCTGGTCCTGGGTTCTGTAAGAAAGCAGATTGAGCAAGTCACCAGGAGCAAACCAGTAAGCAGCACTCCTCCATGGCCTCTGCATCAGCTCCTGCCTCCAGGATCCTGCTCAGTTTGAGTTCCTGTCTTGACTTCCCTCGGTGTACTGTGATTCAGTATATAGAAGCTGAATAAACCTTTTCCTCTGCAGGTAACTTTTGGTCATGATGCTTCATTACAGCAATAGGAACCCTAACTAGTACAGTCAGACACAAAGAACATAAAAGATCATGCCACTCTGTAGAGTTTTGCTAAAGAAATGTCCAGATTACTTCAACAGAAAGAGATGTAATTCAAAATATATTGATTTTCATACTTTCTCTAGGAAACACAGAATACAAAATACATAGTGTAAAATTTGTTACCTCTTGGCCTCTTCTTGTGCTAACAAAAGGAAAAACTTATGCACACATGCATATGTGCCCCAGACCCCCCCCACACACACACACACAAGCATTAAAAACCAGCACAGAGAGTATGCAGCATGCACAGGCTTTGCATTGCTTGGGCTTAGATGGGGTCCCAGTGCCTTCTCCAATTGATAACTGCTCAAAAGTGAAAAAATAGTTTTCTCCAGTGGAGTCTCACTGAATAATCAAACCACACTTAAGGGTAGGCCCTCCATCCAGCAGTAGATGGCTAACTACTATTTTTTTGTTGTTTATTTTTGAAGACAGGGTTTCTCTGTGTAGCCCTGGCTGTCCTGGAACTCACTCTGTAGACCAGGCTGGCCTCGAACTCACCGAGATCAGCCTGCCTCTGCCTCCTGAGTGCTGGGGTTAAAGGTATGAGCTACCATCACCTGGCTGTTTGGGCATTTTTACTGTTACTGGTTTTTTTGCTTGTAAATTATGGTTTCTGGTTCTATGTTGTTATGGGTTTTGTATGTTTTGTATTTCTTGTGCTTTTTCTTTGTTTTGCTTTATTTTATTCT